TTAAGGTCAAGTGCCACTGCCCGGTATACCCTACACTGATGTTTTTTATACCGGGCAGTGGCACTTAACCTTAAAAAAACATCAGTGTAGGGTATACCGGGCAGTGGCACTTAACCTTAAAAAAACATCAGTGTAGGATATACCGAGCCACTTAAGGTTAAGTGCCACTGCCCGGTATACCTTACACTGATGTTTTTTTAAGGTTAAGTGCCACTGCCCGGTATACATTTGGCCGGTATGAATAGTGTACCCTACCAAAGGAAATAATTATAGACCCACTAAGGGGTACACAATGTGGCCCTGTATTTTACTATGTATGTATATCTAAAATAAGTGTTCTGAAAAGCTTAAAATGAGGAAATTCGCCTTCTTAAGCGCTTTAAAAATTCAAAGACATTTTTCAATGTTAACTAATGCAAGGCGCGATATCAGACCTTAATATTGACCCATAATATTTTAATTGGACCACGTATTATATTACCGGGTAATAGTGTACCCTATCAGTGGAAATAATTATAGGTCAATTAGGGGGTACACAATGAGGATCTGTATTTTACTATGTATGCGTATATAAAACAAGTGTTCGGAAGAGCTTAAAATGAGGAAATTCGCCTTCAAAAACCCTTTAAAATTATGTAGCGCGAAGTCATTTTTCAATGTTAACATAAAGCCCGATATCGGACCTTCATATTGACAAATAATATTTTAATTGGTCCACGTATTAAATTACAGGGTAATAGTGTACCCTACCACAGGAAATAGTTATAGACCCCATAGGGGGTACACTATGTATATTTAAAATAGTGCATTAAAACAAGTAAATTCGAAGACACTTTTCAATGTAAACAAACGGCTCGATATCGGTTTTTAATATTGACCTATAATATTTTAATTGGGCCACGTATTATATTACCTAGGAATAGTGTACCCTACCAAAGTAAATAATTATAGCCCTACTAGGGGGTACACAATGTGGCCCTGTATTTTACTACGTATGTATATCTAAAATAAGTGTTCTCAAAAGCTTAAAATGAGGAAATTCACCTTCTAAAGAGCTTTAAAAATTCAAAAACATTTTTCAATGTTAACTAATGCAAGGCGCGATATGAGACTTTAATATTGACCCATAATATTTTAATTGGACCACGTATTATACACTCATGGACAAAAAAATTAGCGCACCAAGAAATAATTGCGGTATCGTAACGAAACTTGCAATGAAGGTACATGTCGGGGAGATATGCAAATGATTAGAAAAGCAGCGTGATTGCGCAATACATATAGCCGGTAGAGGGCGTTGAACGTCGTACTCTGTGGAGTATAAAACAGGTAACGAAAGCTTATTTGAATGTGCTGAATCATTTACAAAGGAAGAGCTGAGGTAGATGTGCCATTACAACGTGTTCGAAGACAATATGAGCAGTTGTCGCAGTTTGAGAGGGGGAGAATCGTCGGGATGATGGAAGCTGAGTGGTCAGCTAGGCGAGTAGCTCGTCAATTAGGCCGCTCTGATTGTGTTGTGAGGAAGTGTTGGGACCAGTGGACCCGAGTGAAGAGCTTAAAATGAGGAAGTTCGCATTCTAAAACCCTTTAAAATTAGGAAGCGCGATGTCATTTTTCAATGTTAACGTAAAGATAATCGCGATATGGAACCTTAATATTGACACATCATAATTTAATTGCACCACATATTATATTCACATGGAATAGTGTACCCTTCCAAAGGAATTAATTTCAGATCCCAAAGGGGTACACAATGTGGACCTACAGTTTACTATGCAATTATACCTAAAATAGTGTTCTTAGAAGCTTAAAATGAAGAAATTTGTCGTCACTTTGTATTTTTAAATCATGTCCCAATATAACACTTTAATATTAACCTATAATAATGTAATTGGACCAGGTGTTATATTCACATGAAATAGTGTACCCTACCAAAGGAATTAATTTTAGGTTCCAAAGGGGGTACACAATGTGGACCTACAGTTTACTATGCAATTATACCTAAAATAGTGTTCTTAGAAGCTTAAAATGAAGAAATTCGTCGTCACTTTGTATTTTCAATTCATGTCCCAATATCACACTTTAATATTGACCTATAATAATGTAATTGGACCAGGTGTTATATTCACATGAAATAGTGTACCCTACCAAAGGAATTAATTTCAGATCCCAAAGGGGTACACAATGTGGACCTACAGTTTACTATGCAATTATACCTAAAATAGTGTTCTTAGAAGCTTAAAATGAAGAAATTACAACAAAGTTACTCAGAGGACTTTAGCAGTGATTTGAGGTACTGGGAGGAAGTTTTAAGCAAAAGAAAGTTACTCCGAGGACTTAAGCAGTGATTTAGAGGAGATGGGTTCCAGGACTCAATTGGATTGTTACTTAGATNAGCGGTGACTTGAGGTACCGGGATCAAGTTTTAAGCAAAACAAAGTTACTCCGAGGACTTAAGCAGTGATTTAGAGAAGGGTTCCAGTACTCAATTGGAGTGTTACTTAGATGATTTAAGCGGTGACTTGAGGTACAGGGTTCAAGATATAAGCGAAAGTCAGTTACTCCGCGGATTTAAGGTCCTTTCAGAGGATATTTGTTCTAGTACCCAATTGAAGCGTCATTCTGAAGATTCAAGTAGAATTTTGAGGATCAGAGGTACTGGGATCAAGTTATTAAGAAAAACAGAATTACTTCGATGATTTAAGCGGTGTTTGGAGGTACTGGGGTCAAGTTTGAATGAAAAATCAGTCTTCCCACGGCTTCAAGCCGCGATTTGAGGTACTGGGATCAAGTTTTAATGAAAAATCAGTGATTCCCAGCTATAATTAGAGAAATGGAGATACTGGGATCAAGTTTTTAAGCAAAACAAAGTTACTCCGAAGACTTAAGCAGTGATTTGAGGTACTGGAATCAAGTTTTAAGCAAAAGAAAGTTACTCCGAGGACTTAAGCAGTGATTTAGAGGAGAAGGGTTCCAGTACTCAATTGGGGTGTTACTTAGATGATTTAAGCGGTGACTTGAGGTACAGCAAAACAAAGTTACTCCGAGGACTTAAGAGGACGCGATACCCAGATAAAAAACCGGAATTGGCAAAATCAGAGTTGTAATAGTCACACTTTGGGGGCGTCGCTTTGAGGAAGGAGTGAATTGGTACAGTGACAGTGATATATAATAGAGGGTCAGTTAAACTATCCCATCCTTCCTTAGAAAAACTGAACAATATAAGCATTAGTTTCGAAAAGTGATTCTGGGTACGCGGTCTTTTATTTTTAAACCCATTCTTAGTTTCGTTGTGAAATATCCAGAATAGACATTCTAACTATTTATTTGTATGTAAATAGGTGTTTACAAGATAATGGGGATTACTTATATCTTACAATTAATTCGTTTCAAATTAAAACACCAAGAAGAATATAAATTTTTATTAATGTGTGTGGAATTAATGGAATTAATTAAAGTAACTTAGTTTTAATAATCGGAGCTAGAACTGCTAGTTATATTGAGCTGTAAATATATGAAGAAATATAATTATAAAAATTTCTGAAAAATACATAATTTATTAAAACGTAGGCAATTTATCAAGTCATAATACAGAATTAAAAAAATTATTAAAACTTATACTAATATAATAAAAAGTTATATATAAAAAAAAGAATTAATTATAAAATATGATAAAAGAAAAATCAAACGCTTTTTAGGTTGCATCAAAGAAAATTTTT